TTGTTCTTTGGGTATGTATAGTTATGTATAGGAGTGTATATGAATTTTGTTATATATATGTATAAAGTAGGTAGGTATGAAAATCATTCTCCTTTTTACATGACTAATTTACCTGTAGACTAATTCTGTTCTATGGAAAAAAATCATTAGGCCCTCAGGACTATGTTTTTTCTATAAAAATTCATTCTAATTTTCATTCTAACATTTCGCCAAGGGCTATTTTTTCTATAGGAAAAAATTCTTTAGGACCTAACGGCTATTTTTTCTATATTAAAAAATTCATTAGGCCCTATATATAGAAATATTTAAAGCCTCAAGACTAATTTTTTAAACTCATTTATATTTGTCCACAGAAAATTATATTTTGTATCTATAACTAATTTAATTTTTCTCTTTACAAAGCAATTTAGGACCTCCGGAATACATTTCATTAGGTATAAAAAAATATTATGACCCTATGACTATTTTTCTTGTATACGATACTAAATCCTCAGTATAAAAAACCAAATTGCATTCTTAGAACATTCTTAAAAATGCATTCCAATTGTTATCCTATACACCCCAATATACATTCATCTCTAGAGTTATATATATTTGGTTTACTATAGCAGTTTAAATTATCATTTAGTGGGATCTGTTTGTTGTTGTTTTTTTCCTATAAATATTTGATTAATTTATGTATAGCAAGTTGTTATTTCAGTAATTGTTTCATGTTTCTATAGTACCTATAATTTTGTTACTTTTTATTCTATGTATATTTCATTCCTTCCTATATAAATTACGGTTTTTTGATAATAATATTTGTATGGTTTTTAATTTTATATAGGTTATGTTAAAGTTATTGTCCACCCATCCAGTTTTGTGTTTTCTGCATTACCATTTTTTTTGTTAGTTTTATTTTTTTTGTTTCTTTTAATTTCTTTTGTATTGTTTAATTTTTGTTCTTTTGTTAATTGTATATATATTTTGTTGTTGTTCTTGTTTTATTATAGTTTAATAATTAATTTATAGTACTGTTGTTGTTAATTGTTTGTTGTTTTTTTTTAATAGAGAGGGAGAGTGATGATGAGAAAAAAGGGAAAACTATAAAAATATACATTTAAAAAAAATTAAATATCCATAACATTATAATAAAATACATTTTAACAAAGGCATGGAAATTGTTAAGTTATGGTACAGTGGAACGTGGTTATTGGGAACTTGTAGAGAATATGAAATCGAATAATATTTGAATGTAAACTATGTTATATCCGTATTATATAATTAATAATAATACATATTAATTATTATTTTAAATTTACACCATAGTTTGCATAAAGACTTGTATCTTCAAAAAACTTAAATTCGACAATGAAAAACAATAACGTCGTGCAAGTCGGTCAAGAATAACTAATATTATGACTGTAGTTGAAGAACCTATGAATGTGTTTTTGCTAATAGGATCCTAAAATTGCATGGAAATTATCTGGAATTTCATTAAAAAATAATTTTGAACAATGAGGCTCATATCAACCCCAGTCGAAAAATTGCCAAATCTTGGACTAGGAAAAGAGCCTGCATTCCTGCAACGTGAGGCTTTTTCACTACATCAGAGTGAAAATTAAAGCTAACATTTCGTTTGCCAAACTTTGAGGTAGGCTTGATCGAAATCACATTCTAATATTTAATATTTAAGACAAATATTTTAATTTTGTTTTTGCAAAATAGTGAGGCTTAATCCCAGTTTGTTGTTTTTATAAAAAAAAAACAACTATTTATTAGTGGGGAATGTATGGCATTGTTCAAGAGACATTTGGGTTTGAAAGGTTTTTTTGTAAAGAAGCTATTAATAGCTTCTGGGGAGAATATCCCAACAAAAAACTAAGGGAACTGATGAGGATCAGTGGCGAGATCCGAAACTATAGTCTTCCCTGCCTTACCCCTCGGCGGACAATGCCATACATTCCCCACTAATAAATAGTTGTTTTTTTTTTATAAAAACAACAAACTGGGAATAAGCCTGACTATTTTGCAAAAACAAAATACAAATGGTATCCCAAATAACCCGCCAAACACTACAAATATTTTAATTTTTTGTACAGCGGAACACTTGTAACGATAGTCAAGGGAACTTCGGAATAAGTCGTTATAATCGTTAGCATAAAAGGCCAAACTTTTCTTGGGACTTTTGGATACAGTTTTTTTATCGTTAAGAAGGATTTTCACTATACATATCCACAATAAAAATGATTTATATCGGCCCACGTTTTCATATTGCCCCCTAAAACTTTTCCTCCATTTTTGGTTTTTGGGGAATTTCAGACACATTTCTTAACAGGATTGTTTATACCCCACACAACTATGTTGTCATGATATTATAGCTTTGTGTAGAACCAAGAGTTTATAACGCCGCGAAATATTGATCCTAGACATTTTAGTATACCCATCGTCATATCTCGACTAGCTGACATATGTGTATGATGGGAGGTCCCTTAAAAGAATCAATCTATAGAATAAATCATTAGGCCCTCAGGACTATTTTTTTTTTCTATAGAAAACTAATTAATTAGACCAATGAGTTTGTAACGCCACGAAATATTGGTCCTAGACCTTTAAGTATGTGTAAGTTGGTTTCTGGCCAAAGAAGAACCCTTATTGTTTTTGGTATTGATTCGTTAATATTTGGGAAATGAAATAGACCAACAACTCTTTTGTTGTCTGTTCGCCACAATTATGATGCAAACATCACGAGATGGGGATTAGGCCAAAGAATAAGCATGCCTGTTTTGATGAAGATCGGTCAATATTTCGGGTCAAATAAACCCTGACTTTTGTGTGAAAAATTGCAAAATTTCCATTCTATATGGTATATATTTATTCCTGAAGAACATAGACCGTATAAGAAGAGCTTATTGCTAAAAAATTTAGCTTGAGGTTCCGTTTATAGTCAAGACAATGCCTAAAATTTTCGATTATGATTAGATCATATTCCGGGGATTAAATGGACCGAATGCTTATTTTTTGTCTTGTTTTCTAGTCGCTTTAGATGTCACAATTATCAGCCGATCATGAGAAATTTTCCATGAGGAAGACGATTCGAATTTATTCGAATGGATGCCTGGATGATGAACGGTCAAAAGACCCATCAACTTTTTGTGTAAAATAACAAAATTTGAATATTATGGAGTACATTTTGCTCCCGAAATCATTATTCGGAAATGATACGGCAGGGGAGCTATTGACCTCTAATGGACAAATATCGCGTAATATTACACAGACTCGATATATAAATCCCCAGGAACTTAGAGCTCAATGAAAGTTGTGTGTAGGGTATCGTATGATCGGCCCCGTCCAACTATATTGCTCCGCTCACTGGTTTTGATTTCAATTTGATTGAAGATCTTTCTGTCTGTCTGTCTAATTTTAAGAATTTAGCGAATTTCAAGCACTTTTTCATCTGAACTGACTGTAATCTGAGATTTTGGGTGCATGCAAAAATTCAACCCGTTATAGGTATTTTTATAGTACAGGGGCATTTTCGAACCGAAGTAGGTAAACGCCGTTTTCGCAAAAGAAAAGTTCTATGTAGGTCCACGTTTAGGTGTATTTTTAAGATTATGGACAAATTTTCCAAATACATTGGGGCTGTATTTTCGCATTCCAGATTCTTGGATGGTAAAGAACTTCTATGCAGGCATGAATCAATATATTTTACAAGGCACCCATAATGGTTCATGGTCTATGTTTATTTTTTATAGCTCCCATAACCCGTTTTTCCTATGTTGAAGATCCTAGCCATTTTGTACAAAGGTTCATACTTCTATTGGGCCCATGTTTTAACCTAGACTCTTATAAGAGTCCCGACCGATTTTAGGTATTTTAAACATCCACTTCATGGTGGTGGGCTGTTTGAACTGAAACGAGCTCATTTTTTAAGGGTTAAGTTTCCGGGAACGAGTTATCTCTCGACGAGGTGATCACAAGTGCCCACGTCTTTTAATTCTAATTTAAACTGCCACTTGCGACTTCGTCCTTTGGGGACACCTGAATTAAAAGGTGTTAGGTGAAATTCTTTCAGATAGGGGCATTCTGGGACATTTCTCCTAACAGCATACATTCGGTATTGTATGGCCGTAGAAAAAAAACTTTGTCTCGTAGGATTCCGCAAAATTTCACAATAGCCCAAATAAAGCCCTTATCGATTAATGCAAAGAAATGTTTAAACCATGGCAATGCGTAGAGCCCGAGACAGATCAGACAAAATGTAGACAAATCATTGGCATCATGACAATACAAACTCTTTCACATCGGCCAGAGGGGTTTGGGTCGGTCGAAATATTGTATCAATGCCCTGACTTGGCAGGAAAAAATCCAGGACTCAAAAGGACACACCACAATTTGTTTGTCTAATATTTACGAATAAAAAAGAAAGAAAACGAAGAAGAGAAGACAAATCAGGATTATCCGAAATCTCTTCATCTGCTTAAACCAGCTACTTTTTAACCGACCAATAAGTGGAATTGATGAGCAATCACTCGTACAGCCCTGACTGGGCAACCAATGACTTCTGTTTATTGTAAAGATGCAGAATGTGATGCTTACGAGTTCAAAACCTAAGTTCAGGTGTCTCACATGGAGTGGAAGAGGTGCATCGAAAATTTGTTTGTTTGAGCGCAGCAAACATTTTTCAGTATTAGGCCTGAAATTCATATATATATATATATATATATATAGTAGTCCTCGTTTTATATTAACAGCTTAGCTTCCTCGTTATTATGGAAAAGGGATCCAAACATTTATCTCAAAAAATAAAATATTTCTTTCACTTGTTTCCACTTTTTGTTCTTTGCTCTAGAATAATTACTGGAGACATTTTCTTCAGAAACCCTAGAAAATAATCATTTAAAATGGTCTAGGTAAAAAGTAAGTCCTTTATAACCCTGGTTCCACTGTAGCCCTATAATTATATTAATTTTATACCATTTGTTTTGTTTTTGTTATTCAATACTTAAATAAAAGACCTGAGTCTATGGTTGTATAATCATTGTAATTGTTATTAAATTTAAAATCATTATAAACACTATCACCACCATCAACACCAATGTGGTGGTCTTGACCACCATCACCGCCAATGCCAACATCATCAACATTGACGTCATTATTAAAGCCATCAGCATCTGAATCATCAGAGCCATCGTCGTCATCATCACCCCCTTCGTCATCATCATGATGGTCGCCATTATTAATATGATGGAAATTATTAGCATTGGCTTCATTATCGACATTATTATTGTAATTATTAACGATATTGTTGTTGTTGCTATTGCTGCTGCTGATGTCGGTGTTTGTGTCGAGCGGAAAATATAATGGTAAATTAAATTTAAATTCAACATCCGGTGTTGTTGACATGATGGATGTCATCAGTGATGCTGGCTGCAATATTGAAGGTGACAATGATGATGTCGCTGCTGCTGCTGCTGAAGATGATGAGGACGAAGATGATGACAACAAGGAGATGGAGGGAAGCACAGACAAGCGTTCCGATGACGACGATGATGTTGCTGTTGTCCAAAATGTAAATGAAGGATATGATGAGAAATTACCAATTGCTGTTGACTTTCTTTTAGCACCATTTGTTGTGATTGTTGTTGTTGTTGCCGATGTGACAAGACTACCTTTTCCTGAACCAGCAATCATTTCCTCCCCCTCCTCATCGTCATCATCCTCATTGTGTTGTCTTCCTGCAGCCGATGTTTTTGTTGTCGTTGTAATTGTTGCCAATTTTAATTTCATATTTTTTCTACGTCCATAATTGTTGTTGTTCTTTTGGCGGCTATGATTTTTGTTGTTTCTGCTGTTATTTCTACTGTAACTGACCATGTCGATGTCATAGTCATTATTTTCATTATTATTATTATTATTATTATTATTGTACAGAATGGGTCAACGAACCAGCAGACCTGTATCAGGTGACCATCGATTCGCTCTATAGTACATATCCTTATACATTGTAGGACAGGCATTTTGATTCTGAAAAAAGAAAAAACGAAGTAAAAGGAAACATTAAATGAGGGAAACATATTTTGAGATGACAATTTAAAGGGGAGACAGGATATATAGATGTGTGATATATATTTCTTGAGCTTAATTAGGGAAGGTAAGTGAGTTATTGATGCAATAACATAATTTGCTTCTCTCAATTTTAAAATAAATTTTTATACCCTTAACCGCATGGCTAAATAGGCTATATACACTTTGATAGGACAAAAACGTGCCTCGATAAAATATTGGGCTTTGGCCCCCATGTTCCGAGTCCTTTTTAGACAATTTGGTGTCGATTTACAAATGTCCGTCTGTATGTATGTGTGTCTGTTAAATTGGTTAGTGCTCATGATAAACATTCAAAATTCTGAGAATTTGTTTGGTTCGAAATTTGTGACATTAAAAATATTCTTTACAAAATTCACACTCTTTTTCGGATTAAAAAATACTTTCAAAAAATCCACGCTTTATATAGGCCTTAAAAATATTCTTAAAAAAATCCACGCCTTATATATTCGTTAAAAAATCCACGCCTTATATATTCGTTAAAAAATCCACGCCTTGTATAGGCCTTGAAAAACTATTCTTTAAAATATCCACGCGTTGTGTTGGTCCTTGAAAAACTATTCTTTAAAATATCCAGGCGTTGTGTTGGTCTTTGCAAAAATATTTGTTAAAAAATCCATGCCTTATATAGGCCTTGAAAAAATATTTGTTAAAAAATCCACGCCTTATATAGGCCTTGAAAAAATATTTGTTAAAAAATCCACGCCTTATATAGGCCTTGAAAAAATCCACGCCTTATATAGGCCTTGAAAAAATATTCTTTAAAAAATCCACGCCTTATATAGGCCTTGAAAAAATATTCTTTAAAAAATCCACGCCTTATACAGGCCTTGAAAAAATCTTCTTTAAAAAATCCACGCCTTCTGTATAGGCCTTGAAAAAATATTCTTTAAAGAATCCACGCCTTATATAGGCCTTGAAAAAATATTCTTTAAAAAACCCACGCCTTGTATTGGTCCTTGCAAAAATATTCTTTAAAAAATCCACGCCTTATATTAGGCCATGCAAAAATATTCTTTAAAAAATCCACGCCTTATATAGGCCTTGAAAAAATATTCTTTAAAAAATCTACGATAAATCTAAAATCTATGATACCCCATGCCTAAGCTAATGAGGGAAATATTTCAGACAATTTTTTGAATTCAATGTGATAAAGTGTACTTACCTTATTCCTCTTAAAGTCTATATTAGTCCTTACAGTTCTATGGTGTAAATTTTGCACTGGACGTGCATTATTGCCTAAAGGAGCTTTCGGTGTTGTTTCTGAGCCCTGCATAAGGCGTCTCAGCTGGTATAACTGCAAGAATACAAAGACAGCAAAAAATTTATATATGTGAACAACATATAAATCAATTCAACATTTTATTGACTTGGCTGCCCATAAATTTTAATAACAATAATAAAATTGTTAAATGTACAATATTTTCAATAATTTATGTGAATTTTACTATAATACAAAATTCCGCTATAACTCTTTTTCGCTGGTGTTGTGAACAAAAAAATGTGAAACATAATTTACCCATAAATCATATTTAACTGACATTTCATAGCTGGTGGTCATTACAGACAATAAAAACACGCTCAAGTGGAGTAACAATTAAAAATATAACAAATTATCCATACTTAACACGTAATCATATTGAATTACATTTCAAATAGTAATAATAAATACGAGCGAACAACAACAATTGATATAACAATTTTTAATCATAACAATAGCAAAACTAACAACAGCAACAACAATGAGGGTGTGTGAACCACAGCAACAGATAAAACTACACAAATAATAACAACCGCCATTTATTCGTTTATTCAGGCATTTATGGTTAACAAGAGTTTTCAATTTTAATTGTAACCACATTTTCACACCACGTCGTCACCGCCAGTATCACCACTGTGATTACACAGGACATGCAGGGATAACATTTCGTAACAGACCGCATTTAATATTAAATTATAATAAGGCTACAGTTATAAAATTAAGTGGTTAATATTTGTATCAAAATTAAATTGTTACATGATAATTGTTGTAATTGCTGCACGAGTGAGTGTGTGTTTTTTGAAGTAATTAAGAATCAAGAGGCACCGATATAGATATGCACTATATTCGCTGAGGAAAATTATAATTCGATTTTAAATGATTTTTATACCCTAATCCTTAGGCTACACACTGTCTCTTTCGACTTAATCCGTTGCATACAATTTGGAGTCGATTTACCAATGTCCGTCCGTCTATCTGTCAGGTATGCTCGATAACTCTCGAAGGGACTAACCACATGATTGAAATATAAATCATCGGTCCACTCCTTCTGTTACTTTTCTATGTTGTGATTTTTTTGTGACAAGACCACATTTTCCTGAAAAAGCAATCATTTCCTCCTCTTCTTCATCATCCTCATTTTGTTGTCATGCTGCAGCCGATGTTTTTGTAGTTTTGTACCTCTCACACAATGTTATATTTCTTACAGTGAGTGTAATAAGTATTTTGCCTCAATAAAAATTTGAAAAAATTCCAATATATACGCCTAAAGCCATCAAACTAAAGATGTAAAATGAATTATGAATGATGGAGTACGTTTGTGGACATATTTAGATCGTATTTCTACAAGAATCACAGCGAAAGATCTATTAAAGATCTATCTATAAATATATAACAACCCAAAAATGTTTATCACAAAAAAGTATTTTGCTTTTTATTATTATTTTAGAAAACATTGTTACATAGAACTCGTTTGGTCTTTTTATAGTTACCATTGCGGGTAACGACACACTATAAGTGATTTGGCAACGATTCCAATAAACCACGGCATTTTTCGCGAGTATTTTCTCTCACATTTACATTCAATACATTCTCCAGCAATATTTCATTTAATATTTGAAAATTTTTCGCCCTAATCTTAAGATGAGAGTATTAAACATAGTCATTGCCGCTTCAAAACATCCCAAATATGTTTAGAATAATAAAAAAGAGGTTTTGCAAAGTATAACGCGAGGACAGAACCTTAAAAACTATTAAAACCAAAATCCGACAAACAAATTATTTAAAAAAATATCGCGAAACCCATTTTTTCTATCTTCGAAAACTTTATGGTTCATTATTACTGATCTGGGAACCAAAATATACCATGAAAATACCAATAAGGAGGTCAGATTCAATGATATGGACGGTTTTCTGGCAATAGAAATACATCTTATTTCGAAAATAAATAGATCGACCCGTTTATTCCCTACTGCATTTTATTCCCAACTGATGGTGTTAATCGGAGATAAAATATAGAATGCGTATTCGCCACCAGCAACCACAGTTTTTCAAAAGAGAGTAGGATTTGACGAATAATGATGTTTTCTCCCAACTTCATGTATTGCATTTTATTACTATTGCTTTAGAACTGTTCATATATTTGAATCTGAATCTGGTTCCTAGATCTATATTACTGGACCATACAAATTTCGAAGTCAGAAAAATTGGGTTTCGCGAATTTTTTTAAAAAAATTGTTTGTTGGATTTTGGTTTTAATAGTTTTTAAGGTTCTGTCCTCGCGTTATATTTTACAAAACCTCTTTTTTATTATTCTAAACATATTTGGGATGTTTTGAAGCCGCAATGACTATGTTTAATACTCTCATCTTAAGATTAGGGCGAGAAAATACCAAATATTAAATGAAATATTGCTGGAGAATGTATTGAATGTAAATGTGAGAGAAAATACTCGCGAAAATGCCGTGGTTTATTGGAATCGTTGCCAAATCACTTATAGTATGTCGTTACCCGCAATGGTAACTATAAAAAGACCAAACGAGTTCTATGTAAACATTTTTTCTAAAATAATAATAAAAAGCAAAATACTTTTTTGTGATAAACATTTTTGGGTTGTCATATATTTAGGCCGATATCTTCGAGACCAATAGATCTTTCGCTGTGATTCTTGTAGAAATACGATCTAAATATGTCCACAAACGTACTCCATCATTCATAATTCATTTTACATCTTTAGTTTGATGGCTTTAGGCGTATATATTGGAATTTTTTCAAATTTTTATTGAGGCAAAATACTTATTACACTCACTGTATATATTTTATTTTTTTTTTTTTTGCAATTGAATTCAAGGCCAACTTTGAAACTCCAATATCATATTAATATTCAACTAATTTTGAAATTTTATTTATTTTACAAGAAATTTGAAATTTTATTTATTCATTTACATAACAGCAATACGTAATTTTTATAAACCAACCATCACCGCCATCTATTGGTGGGCATGTTCACATTATTCAAATCCGTTTTTCAGTCCAACTTTTCAAGGTCATAACTTTTGAATTTCATCAAAAGTGGTGTAATATGAAGGAGCAAAAATTCTTCTTTGCTATGACCAGCAAACAATTCTTATAACAGAAATATCTTTGACGGAGTTATAGAAAATTTTAACACTATACTTCATATTCAAAATTTAAACAAAAAATAAATAAATTATTTTACAAGAAAATATGAAATTTTATACTTCATATGACACCAATTTTATTTAAATAGAGATGAGGTTTAAATTTTAAATAATCGATGTTTGAATCCACCCATTCAATAGATGGCGCTGATGACAGGTGTTTGTCAGTGCTTCCAAATTTGGAGCACCATTTACATAAAATCGGACGAAAATATATATGGGAGCTATATCTAAATCTGAACCGATTTTTACGAAACTTAGAACACATCATTCTGGACCTAATTCAGTACCCTATGCGAAATTTCGTGTAAATCAAAAGACATATAGGGACTTTGGTGCCTCATTTACCTTAAGGGAACCCCCCCCATTCTCGATTTTATTTTTTCAAGATTTTCAATGGGCTGGTAAATCAATACCAATGCTTGTTAAGGTTTGTAACTTTGCACATATATAATTGAAGATTTAAAACAGAAGAAAAATAATTTACAAAAAATTTTTGTTATTGTTTTGTTGTTGTTTTTTGTAATTAAAGAAAAAGATTTTCAATGGGCTGGTAAATCAATACCAATGCTTGTTAAGGTTTGTAACTTTGCACATATATAATTGAAGATTTAAAACAGAAGAAAAATAATTTACAAAAAATTTTTGTTATTGTTTTGTTGTTGTTTTTTGTAATTAAAGAAAAGTCCTTATTTTTGATGGCGGGCATGATAACTCCTCACTGGAGCATCGGAATCCGAAAATTCCAACGGTGTTAGAAAGAGTACATGTCTGGCTCTCGTATGAACTAGGATTATTGACATCGCTCTAAAAGTAACAAAATGGTGGACCTTTGAAAAAATATTTTTGGAAAATCGCCGATTTTTTACCAAAAACCAAGTTAAAAATAAGGAAGATCTTCACCGATTGGCTTTATCCTAGTTCATACGATAGCTATACACTCACAGATAAACGTGTAAAAATTTGGAATCGATTGGGTTATTAGTTTTTGAGTTATCATGCACGCCATTCGAAAAAGAGAAAAACGTGTTTAAAGTTTGAGAAGCCCTTTAGCCGTCACTTGATGCTGACACAATAAATCGGCTATATCTTCAAGAGTTATTAAGATTTTCACTTGAAATTTTGTAAGGACATTCTCGAATTAATGTAGTTTCGAAATCAATCAAAAAAAAATTTAGATACCGAGAATGGGGGGGTCCCCTTAATATTCGATTTATAAAAAATCTGACCCTTTTGTGGGGGTGGTACTAGATGGAAACCCCACTTTCCAACAGTGAAAAGGATTGGAAAAAAATATTAGTTTTTTCAATGTTTGGTTTAAATAGTATGGTCCATTCGTATGATATTATTTTCAGCAAAATGCTGGTACTAGAAGGAATATACCGATATTCCCCATATTCGAACATGATTTAAGTTTGGATGAAATCTGTTACTCTCTTCAAGGGTTATCGTGTCCACCAGCCAGGCAGACGGACATTTGTAAATTGACTCCAAATTGCCGAAACGGATTTGGTCGAAAGAAACATGGGGTTTAAAACCAATATATCGATGATACCATGGGGTTTAAAACCAATATTTCGATGATAAAACCAATATTTCCTCTTTAGCCATAAGGCTGAGTGTATGTTTTCTATACGTTTGGTTGTATTTATTTATGTTTATATTTTTTTGATGTAGCATAATTAATAATTAATTTCAATTTTTTTGTAATTTAGCTTTAGGAAACATTCAGCTTTCAAAATTTAATTTAAAAAAATCATCCCCCGAAATGTACGCACAACACGTGTTCAGTGACAATAATTACAAAATGTTTAATAATAAAGTTCCCAGCCTCTATAATCTATAAATATAAGTTGTAACATCTATAGTTATATCTTAAGAACAATGTTAACCCAAAATTTAGATATTTATCTATAGAAAGCATATATTTTTATTTTATTTTTAAATATGCCATTCGACATGTATAACATTTTATTTTATATTTTTTTTTCAAACTATTTGAAAATTATAGATGAGTTCCAAATTAAAAAGGGTTGTCATTATTAATTTTGATACTACCTTCTGTAATTATGCCATAATTAAAAAAAAACTTTCAGCAATGTGAATTTTTCCAAAGTTCTTATTTTTTATATATTTTTTTTTAAATTTCATTGCATAACCACCCTAATAACACATTTCTCTCCTAACTGTGCACAATTTTAATTTATTTAATTTCCATATATAAATTGTACAAATGCTGCATTGCAAAAAATACCAAAAAAACAACTCCAGCAATACGAAACAATAATAAAAACCTCATAAATTTTGTACGCACAAAAATTATATGCAGTATCTGAATCAACTGAAAAGGGAATTGAATTGTTATTTTTATTTATTTTCATATTTATATTCAATATATATATGCACTGATAGTAATTTATTATATTTACCACAACCAGTGCAAACCCAACCTACCAACACTAACTGACAGAATCGGATTGCATCGTATTCAATTAGGAAATGCACGCACACATACATACATATACCCATATAAATCTCTGTATGTGAAGCCCATCAATATTAGCATTTGTTTGTTAGCTGTTTCGACCACTCATAGTTACCGCAGAAAAAAACAATAGTATAGAAAGATTTATTAAAAATTGGATAAATTGGAAAATGCTTTCACTTTGTATAATAGGAGGATAGTGGAAACACAGTGGAGGATTTTTTTCTAATTTTACCTAAACATTAATTTAAGTTATCTACCTAGTGCAGTAAACAATATTCCAGCCGAAAGATCAATGGACTTTGGGTTCGAATCTCACGGGAGGAGGAAAAATTGCCCAATGAAGCTTATACCGCCTACCTATGAAATACCCCCGTAACATGAGGATAGCACAAACATAGGAATGACAGAAGATAACGCCACCCAGAAGAAAATTTTAACACTATATAGCAACCATTGCACAATCATTCAAATTTGTGTTGTTTCTTGCAAACGATAGGTGGTAGCCGCATCACACAGGAAAAACTTCTGCAGGCCAATCATCTATTTGGCTAAAATAAACCAGTGAGCGAAACAGTATAGTCGGACGGGACTGATCATATGATACCTTACACAACTTCCACGAAAATATATCATTGTGTGGTTCTATATTCTGAGTTTGGGCAATATGTCGCGATATTTTCGCCCACATCACCGACTAGAGTTCAACAAATATAACTAATATTACAGCCCTTCTAATTACTTGTTCAGATTCTGTTCACCGTGGCTTGTGTTGTGATGTTTGGCTTTCAATTGTGGCTTATAGATCGTGTTTCGGTCCACTTTATCTCAAAATTATTACTCATGGAAAATTTGCCTTCTAGTGTGGTAATGGGTTACTAAATAATATATGAATACGTAAATATTTAAGTGTAACTCCCACATCCGGGTACCACACCTATAATTTGTATCCAACACAGGGGCCACTCCTCTTGGATATGCTATCAACTTCTGGGTCTATGTCCTTCGGGGGTAAATATGTACGCTTCTGCAGGCCAATCAAATGTTGTCATTTTTCACACAAAAGTCTGGGTCAATTTTACCCGCTAAATATTGATCGATTTTTATCAAAACTGGCACGCAAATTCTTTAGCCCGATACAATTATGGCCCAATGTTCGGACGGACGAACGGACCCACATGTCTAGATCGACTCAGCTAGTCGAGATATGATGATCGGTATACTTAAAGGTGGGTCTACGACCAATATTTCGCGATGTTACAAACTCTTGGGCCTACACAAAGCTATAATACCCTGACAACATAGTTGTGTAGGGTATAAAAAACAATGATAACGAAGGACAAATCGAGTAAGACGACTATATTTTATGGAAGCCCTATGTACCAAAAGGAGCAACCATAAATATTTCCTGGAAATTTGTTCTTCGATTAGAATCGTCGATTTTAATTTTATGATTCGTATCTTTTGATCTTTATCTTTTATGATCTTTCGTATCTTTTATGATCCAATTTGAGTCTGGTATTACTGTTCCCACACGGAACTCACAGATGATGATCGACGACTGGTTTTTATACCCTTCACCACACTGTGATACAGGGTATTATGTCTTTGTGCATATGTTTGTTACAAGCAAAAGGAAACGAGATAGACACATGGTTCCTTTTGAGAATAAGCATAGAATCCCTTTCTGAGTCGATTTACGCATGTCCGTCTGTCCATCCGTCCATCCATGTATTTTTGTAACAAAGTACAGGTCGCATTTATGAACCGATTTGGATGAGATTTGGCATAGGTCACTTATTTGGCCCAAGGACGAACCCAATTGAAATTGGGAAAAATCGGTTCAGATTTAGATATAGCTCCCATATATATTTTCCTTTTGAGAATAAGCATAGAATCACTTTTTGAGTCTATTTACGCATGTCCGTCTGTCCATCCGTCCGTCCATGTATTTTTGTAACAAAATACAGGTCGCATTTATGATCCGATTTGGATGAAATTTGGCATAGGGCACTTATTTGGCCCAAGGACGAGCCCAATAGAAATTGGGAAAAAATGGTTCAGATTTAGATATAGCTCCCATATATATTTTTCGTTCGATTTAATGAAAATGGTGCACCAAAATTCCTATATATCTTTCGATTTGCACGAAATTTGGCACAACGTAATGAATTAGCTCTAGAATGATGTGTGCTAAGTTTCGTGAAAATCGGTTCAGATTTAGATATAGCTTTCATATATAGTTTTGTCCGATTTTATATAAATGGTGCACCAAAGTCCCTATATATCTTTCGATTGACAAGAAATTTGGCACAGCGTAATGAATTAGGTATAGAATGGCGTGTGTTAAGTTTCGTGAAAATCGGTTCAGATTTATATATAGCTCCCATATATATTTTCGTCCGATTTAAGGTGAATGGTGTACCAAAGTCTTTATTATCTTTCGGTTTGCACGAAATTTGGCACAGCGTAATGAATTAGGTATAGAATGGCGTATGTTAAGTTTCGTGAAAATCGGTTCAGATTTATATATAGCTCCCATATATATTTTCGTCCGATTTAAGTTAAATGGTGTACCAAAGTCTTTATTATCTTTCGGTTTGCACGAAATTTGGCACAGCGTAATGAATTAGGTCTAGAATGATGTGTGCTAAGTTTCCTGAAAATCGGTTCAGATTTAGATATAGCTTATATATCTGACCAAATGAAGAATTTAGTATCGGTTGCAGAATGACATGTTTATGGATCCAATTTCATTTTACTGGTCCTGCGACGTCTGTTAGGATTGAATATACCCAAAGTGATGAAGGGTATCATATAGTCGCCCCGTCCGACGTTACTGCTTTCCTTACTGGTTAAAAATTAAATCCTTAAGTTCATTTCACCAAAAATTAATGTCAAGCTATATTTTCGATCGTTGCCAAAATGTTTGTCAGTGTGCCAACCAGCTAGTTATTATTTAAAATTTCCTCACAAATTAATTTTTACAATTTAATCTTATTTACCACTAATTGGTTATTAATAGGGTTTTCATTATCTCAACAAAACACAAAAAATATAAACAATTAGTTTTTTTTTATAAAATATATAACATTATTTTATTACGTATGAGTATATATTTTTTTCTAGCATTTTTTGATTTATTACCTATGTCGATACATACCTCTTGTTTTGTTATATAAATTGGCTTATTTACTATTATCCAGACAGTGCTTTCCCAACAGCCGGGATGTGTGGTGGATCCTTCGTATGTTATATAATGATCGGTATTTGGCAGTAGAGCACGTACAGACAAGTGTCTAATGGGCGTTGAGAAACCTGAAAAAAAAAGTAAAAGAAATATGAAATACAAATAATGTGCATGTTGCGAGTATTAGCATGAGCGGAACCGAAAAAAAACATGTTATGTAATAATAATATTTCCCAATTATTTATGCATGTTAGGGAATTCCAATTAAAGTTATTTCGCACGACACGTTGAAACGTGTTTAGAAAAGTAAAAGTATAGGTTGGTTCACGTTTAATATTAGTAAAAGGGAGCATAGTAAAAGTGAAAGGATCCGACAATATGGGGTCACCTAAACTAAACCACTAACGTACACTGGCAATTTTTTTATGAAAATTATATTAAACAATGTGACTAGATCGAAAATCACATGTTCATATTTAAACACCAAAAGTCAAACTCTATTTGATCAGGTCTGAATGGGTGAAAATGGCATAAAATTTTTAAAAATTGTACTATATTTGTGCTGGAACGGGTTACGCAACTCACTTTTACTAATTGCACACAGCATAACGCAAACAACTTAATAAACATAGTCTCAGAAATTTTTCAAAAGATTAAGTGGCACCGACAGATTTACGAACTCACACAGTCGCTAAGTAAACGCTAAAGATAATAGAAGTGAAATAGATATAATATTTAACTTGAGGCATTTTGGTGTAATATCGTGAAATCGGGCACACATAGTGTAGCCATATCTTAATCGAAACCGATTTTTACCAATAGCAGGAATTCTCCTACAATGCACAGGGATTTTTATTGCACAGTAAAATAAAAACCATTTTGGGTATATTCAACAGATGAATTCTTACAGACGTTGAAGGACCATTAACACGAAAATGGATCCATAAACATGTCATTCTGCAACCTATACTAAATTTTTCATTTGGTCAGATATAGGGTTGCTTCTTACAATGGGAACCGCTTTCAATGACATTTGCCAGAGATTCACTTGTATTAACTACAGTTCTTTGTACAAAATTGTGTGGCAATCGGACAAGCTTTGGTTCTTTAGTACACAATTTACATAAAATCGGAAGAAAAAATATACAGGAAACTTAACGCTCATCATTCTAGACTTAAGTCATTACGCTATGCCAAATTTCGTGCACATCGAAAGATATGTAGGGACTTTGGTACACCATATACATTAAATCGGACGAAAATATATATGGGAGCTATATCTAAATCCGGACCGATTTTTAGGAAACTTGACACACATCGGTCTAGACTTAATTCATTGCGCTATGCCAAATTTCGTGCAAATCGAAAGATACATAGGGATTTGGTACACCATTTACATTAAATCGGACGAAAATATATATGGGAGCTATATATAAATCCGGACCGATTTTTAGGAAACTTGACACACATCGGCCTAAACCTAAGTCATTGCGCTATGCCAAATTTCGTGCAAATCGAAAGATACATAGGGACTTTGGTACACCGTTTAAATTAAATAAGACGAAAATATATATTGCAGCTATATCTAAATCTGGACCGATTTTCAGGAAACTTAACACACATCATTCTAGACCTTAGTCAGTACGTTGTGCCAAATTTCGTGCAAATCGAAAGATATATAGGGATTTTGTTACACCATTTACATTAAATCGGACGAAAATATATATGGTAGCTATATCTACATCTGAACCGATTTTTCAATAGGGTTCGTCCTTGGGCCAAATAATTGACTTGTGCCAAATTTCATTCGATTCGGATCATAAATGCGACCTGTACTTTGTTTACATTTTAACATGGACAGACGGACAGACAGACGGCCATGCATAAATCGACTCAGAAAATGATTCTATGCATATTCTCAAAAGGAACCATGTGTATATCTCGTTTCTTTTTTGCCTGTTACAAACATATACACAAAGAAGGGTATAAATGTAACGGATACTTGTATGTAATGATAAACAAAAATATCGCCTATTCTGAAATCAGTACTCTTATAGTGCGTATAACTAAAACTACCTCTATATTTCAGCACTACACCAATTCTGACGGTAACAAAAATTTAGCTTTATACTAAATTTTGTATCATTTATTACCTTCTGTATTCTCGTAGTACTTATTTCCAAAACTAATTCCAAATTTCGTGATT